CATAGCCCTATAATTCCCAACTGGTTCTCGTGAGGGCTGTAAGGCATGTCTTCTAATTTAGAGTCACAAAATATTCCAAGTAATCTTTCTTACCGGTCGAGCAGTGAATGTAGTGTATGTGTAGTGTGTGTAGTTGTGTATGCGTTCTTGATTACTTGCAAGATCACATTGGCATCCCTCTTGAACAAATAACCAGGTAAGTGTTATTTATACAAGTGTTTGAAATTATGATCGCCTAATAATTTAAACCGAAAAATCTTACAATTTTGCGCACAAAATGTAAATATTTATGGTAAATTATAGATTTTTCGGATTGAATTGCCAGGCGATCATGATCAGCAGCAGGTTGCTACCGAAAACCAAACGATCGTTTGTCACCTTTTGGAATTCCTGTTCGCCTGGTAATTCAAACCAAAAAATCGTTCAATTTTGCCCACAAAGTGTAAATATTTATTCATAAAAAATGCTATGACAAAGCTTCACTTAATCAGCATATATAAATCCAGTTAAGCACTGATGTTATTTACAGACATTGTCACTTGTCATTTAATCGATGTTCCTCTTCAGCAATTTTCTTTCCAAAGGAGTGAAATTTGCATTACGTTGTTTATCGCTTGTTCTAAGTTGATTAGGAAAGGTGCGGCTGGCTCCGAATTTTCCTCACCGATGATTATGGCCCATATAATCATAATATTATTTATTGTCAAATAAATCAAGTATTGGAACTCAAGAAATTTAGAAGTTTTAAATTCACCTAAAAAATTTGAAACCTCATTGGGCGCCTATTAAGAAATCACAGTTATGGCGAATGCTTCCAATTGGGAATTTGCGACATCGATAACAAAAGCTGCATAGTGTAAGCATCAGTGATGCCAATTCAGCCTTTTTCCGGACAGATCTGTCCTGACTACTGCTTCATCCGGAAAAAATGTCAAACAGCCCCAACCCGGAAATCTGTCTTTTTTGTAGTTTTTCTATACGGAAATCTGTCCTTTTTAGACAATGTTAGAAGTGTGTGGTTAGAAAAACAGGAAACACCTATAAAATTCCCGAAAAGTATTTGAAACGCATTGGCACAATGGCAACGTATGAATCAAACGTTGAGGACGAATGCGTCGTGGACGAAACATTTAAAATATTAAATTAAAAGTTAACTAAATAAATAATCATCATAAAAAAATAGGTCCTGTTTTTTCATCCTTTTTTAGAAATTTTCAGCGTATTTTTTCCGTTTTTTTTTTTCTCAATCTGTCCTTTTTTTACAAAAATATATTGGCATCACTGGTAAGCATAGTGTTTCTCGATATCGATTCTTAAGAGAGCTGCTGCTCCGAATTGCAAAGAATTTGAATTAAACTCTAAAACAATCTGAAAAGATAATAAGCAATAACTAAGAAAAGAAAACGAATAATTAAAAAGACGTGACAGAAGTAACTATCAAGCCGGTCGCCCCAATTTTCTATCGAACCTTCTCGAATAATGTGTCATCGGCGGGTCTAACCTCACTCATTCTCTTTCAAACAGCGGCAGCGCCAGCACGAGTTCAATTGTTTTCACGCAGAAATAAATTAAACAGCCAGAAAGATGTTCGGTGGACAGCAGCCAATACTCGTGTTGAGTGAGTATAAAATTTGCACCTCGTTGAGCCCAATTGCAATCGAATTATCCGCCGGCAGGTCAAAACACAAAGAGAGAATCGGGCCGCAAAGTGCAGTTGGAGAACATTCAAGCCGGAAAGGTATGCGTGACTCACATGTCTGGGTCTTGGGTTTTTGTGTTCTCGCCTTTTCCGACCATCTGCTGATTTAAACGGCTTTTTCCAGGCCATCGCCGATGTGATACGCACATGCCTGGGGCCCCAGGCCATGCTGAAAATGCTGATGGACCCCATGGGCGGAATCGTGATGACCAACGATGGCAACGCCATCCTGCGGGAGATCACCGTGCAGCACCCGGCGGCCAAGAGCATGATTGAAATTGCCCGCACACAGGACGAGGAGGTTGGCGATGGAACCACATCGGTCATCGTCCTGGCCGGCGAGATGCTGGCCGCTGCCGAGCCCTTCCTCCAGCAACAGATCCATCCCACTGTTATCATCCGCGCCTACCGCGAGGCCCTCGAGGATATTGTCGGCCACCTGCAGTCTCAGCTGAGCATCCAGTTGGACGTTAAGGATAAGGCCAAGATGGCCGATGTGGTCAAGGCGTGTGTGGGCACCAAGTTCATTGGCAAGTGGTCCGACCTTGCCGTCAAGATTGCCCTGGACGCCGTCGAGACGGTGACGCTGAGCGAGAACGGCCGTCTGGAGGTAGACATTAAACGGTAAGAACGAAACCATAGCGATTTTATTTGTTACGCGTTTTAGAGATTAAGATTTGTTATGCAAATTTCTAAAACTCGCAATTTTTGTTAACCTTAACAGCTATGCCAAGGTGGAGAAGATTCCCGGTGGCGCCATAGAAGAGTCGTGTGTCCTTAAGGGCGTGATGATCAACAAGGACGTGACGCATCCCAAGATGCGACGCCTCATCGAGAATCCCCGTATCGTGCTGCTTGACTGCTCGCTGGAGTACAAGAAGGGCGAGAGCCAAACCAACGTGGAGATCATCGGGGAGCAAGACTTCACCCGCATGCTGCAGATCGAGGAGGAGTTTGTGCAGCGCATCTGCGCCGACATCATTGCCGTAAAACCGGATCTGGTATTCACTGAGAAGGGTGTCTCCGATCTCGCCCAGCACTACTTGCTGAAGGCTGGCATCACGGCCATCCGTCGGCTGCGTAAGACTGACAATCTGCGCATCGCTCGCGCCTGCGGTGCCACCATCGTGAACCGCACTGAGGAGCTGACCGAGAAGGATGTGGGCACAGGAGCTGGACTGTTCGAGGTCAAAAAGATCGGCGATGAGTACTTTACTTTCGTGACGGAGTGCAAGGAGCCCAAGGCCTGCACCATCCTGCTGCGCGGTGCCAGCAAGGACATCCTGAACGAGACGGAGCGCAACCTGCAGGACGCCCTGCACGTGGCCCGCAACTTGGTGCTGGAGCCCCGCCTAGTGGCTGGCGGCGGAGCCGTTGAAATGGCTGCCTCTCAGCTGCTCACGCGCAAGCAGGTTAAGGGACCATACACGGCGGTGGCCCACGCCCTGGAGATCATACCGCGCACACTGGCTCAGAATTGCGGCGCCAACACGATCCGTGCCTTGACTGCCCTCCGCGCCAAGCACGCCTCCCACACCGGCGATGGCGTCTGCGCCTGGGGCATCGACGGCGAGTCCGGCGAAATCGTGGATATGAACGTGAAGAACATCTGGGAGCCGCTGGCCGTTAAGCTTCAGACCTACAAGACCGCCGTGGAGACGGCAATCCTGCTGCTGCGCATCGACGATATCGTCTCTGGATCAAAGAAACGCGGCGGCAACGAGCCCACCAACCCGGCGGCCATGGCCCAGGGTATGGAGTAGTAGCCTGCGATCAACCACGTGTATTAATAATGCTTACTATCCTTTAATACTTAATTTAACACTCAAAAGAAAAAAAAAACAAAATCCCTCACACCACCCCAAATGTTTAACATTTAGCTTCAGCCAGGCAATGTTGGCTACTCCTACTTGGCAAGGAGGAAACGCATCTGCCGGCCGCCTACACACAAATTCAGTTGCATTTGCTCTCATTAACAGTACACAAATAAAATTGTTAAAACTCATAAATGCTTTCATTTGTTTTAAGTTCATTTACTTCGCCTACATGAGCTACTTATGCAAATTAAATACAATTATTAGGTGTAGTTAATTTACCTCCTCCTGGTTGCGATGTTCACCTTGATGCACTTCGTATAGCCTTTCGTCCATCAGTTTGAGCACTTCTAAGCCAATAGAAGTGAAATGGGGATGCAGATATCGGGCAAACAACTCCAAGCAGTTTGGTTCCTGCTGGTCCTTATCCAACAGGAGGTACTCCCTCAGCCAAGACAGCAGTGGTGGCTTGTGGGAATGCACAATGCTGGGTACGCTGAAGAGCAATTCGGTCTGCTGGATATCTTTTCCGTAAGTATCAGAAGCATCAGAGCGACAGGCCACGTAGAGCATCTCGTATGGCTGTTTCTGGGTGAGATCCGACTGCGGAGGAGCAATCAGTGCGTGGTCTGTGCTGAGTTTGTACCATCGAAGCTTGTGAAGCAATCTAAGATTCCAACTGGGCAGTAGCTGCTGCTCCAGAGCCAACTGATGCAGCGTCGAATTGGTGCACCAGATGGCCACCAGTGATCGTGGGTGCGTGAGCTTCGAGAGCGGTATGTGGGATAGTTGCTCATTACTCAGCATCGAGTATCCCAGCTCCGGCTTGGCCCGCTTTAGTCTGCGGATGTACTTATTCCGCCACGGAGGATCCAGCACGATGAGATCGTAGGCGGGCAGAAGTTGGTGCAGCAGTGCAGGCAGATTGTCCACATTGTGGTTGAAGAATCGGGATTGATTGGGAATCAAGTACACGCCACGGGATCCAGCATGTCCCAGGAACCGCTGCATCCGTCCGCTTTCGTTGGCTCCATGCAATTGGGGCAGGTTGTAGCCATCCTCCCAGTGCCTCTCTATCGGTGGAGTATCCCCCAGTTCTGGGGGCTTGCTCAGAAGCTCTAGATATCCATTCACTGAGTGGAAATCCTCCAAGGATGACGGATCTTTTGCGCCGGCTTTCCTTTTGCGCTTCCTGGCCCTGGCTACCTCATTTCCTTGGTCCGTTTTCTTGGCATGGAACTGGAACAGTTCGGACTTCAGGTAGAACTCGCCATACGCTTCGTTGATCAGTTTCCTGTGCTCCAAGAACACAGCCACCTTCGAATCTTCAGGTTTCTTTTGCAATTTCAACATTCCCGAAATCGAACAGTCGTTATCTAAAAGTCATCCCTGCGTCTATCGATAGTTTTTGTAGGGCGCAAAAATTGTGCACCTTGAATACCAAATAAACATAATTTCATACTTCCTTGCTCTCTGATCAAAAGTCATTCAGAAATGCAGTTTAAATATTATAGAGTTTTAGAGGTATGTATACCAACGACAGTTTAGACAGTCACTTAGAATTCCAATGTATATAGTATACCTCTAAAAGCCTGATTTTAGAACTACTACGAACTACTAATAACGTGACTTATTCCTGCTTTAGCTGAAATAATCCTTTATATGTTTTAATAAATCCGCGTGGAGCCTTACATTCCCCAGACGGTTGTAGTAACTAAGCTCCTCGCTGGAATTTTCGGCTACAAATCGCAGCATTGACCACGTGTTGAGCTGATATTTGCATCGCTGGGGATTATGCTTTTGGGTTCCGGGGAGAAAGAAGAAGGCGGGCGGGGACTCTACGAGAAACTTCTTGGGGACACTGGTTCCATGTATATCCATCTTGTACAGAAGCACTGACTCCTGCTTCAGTTTTTCGCCCAGACGATCTAGATTTGCCATGAGACTGCTGTTGACTTCCGCGCCATTTTGCAGGGAGTTGTAGAAGCAGAGGGCTATATCATTATCGCTGGCGTATATAAGATCGTTCCAGCGGTCTAGGCTGATGTTCTCCACCTTGGGATCCCTAGAAGTGGGCTCCTTTGCTATCCCCTTTATCACCTGATCGCAGAAATCCCTGAGGTTCTCCGGGTCGGGCAAATGGGGCCCAGTGAAATCCCCAAAGAAGAATACAGCTCCAGTGGAACTTGCGGCGTATATCAGGGGATATGAGTCCACGGTACAACCTCCGTCACTCCGAAGGAAGCTGAAGTCATCCTCATTAAAGATGAAAGACTGCCACAGGTCGTCCACGTAGAAGTCCATCTCGCCGCCGAGAAACGCAGGCGAAGCTAGTTGGTATACCATATCTATCCACTTCTCCAGCGCTCCGATATCATCCGCAAACACATGGAGAACTATGAGGGTGGGTCGCTTGTGGATCTCCCACGAAGATCGCAATTTTCCAAAATTGGGAAGTCGCTGCAGTCGGTCCTTATATTTTTCCGGGAAAAAGGTTTTGAAGTTCGGTGGCGGCGGGTTGTAGCCGCAATAATGTTGGGACATGTTGACTCCATTCAGTGGCCCTTCCAAGTGAAATTGCCGGTCGGTTGACTCATCATCATCAGCAGGTTAGTCATAATATTTGATTAAATACGAGTGGTGGGCTTTACTTGCGGACTTATCGATAGGAAATAAATTAGATTATTTTCTAGCCGCTCAAAATTTAAAATCTCAATTTGTTTTTTTAATATAAAGCAATTTTCACTTAACAGGTACTTTTCAAACACTTCGTGTTTTTCAAAATTTATGTAGAAACAATAAACATTAATTTGAGCTTGCTCTGTCATCGCAATGTTCTGGTTGAAAGCAGATTGGTATGGCTAAGACAATGGAAAGTCTGTCATTCCTCGGACGAGTTTAATATTTTAGTTTCACTTATCTCAGACTAGGTAAGTGTTGGCTGGGAACAAAACAGCATGGCCACTGAATTTCTGGAGCTAAATCGATTCTGAGGGGACATAATAAGGACCCGCGGACTCAGGACCTGGTTTCCACGCTCCTGTTCATCGCATTCAGGATCATATCCTCGAAGTGCTGGATGTTGGTCATCACCGTCAGGCTGTGAGCGCACTGATCTGCGTTGGGTGCGTTGCTGATCACCCCGAAGAGGAAGTGGCGGGCGGTGTTCCAGGCGGAGAAGGCTTTGGTCTGCAGCTCGGAGGTGAATCCACCGCCACTGTCACCCTGGCAGGCCAGCGACTTGCCCTGTGTGAAGATGCAGAACTTGTCCGCCTGGATGTCCCGCAGATTCGCACGGCACACGGAATTGGACTTGGACACGGCTGGCACAAACTGGAGCTCGTGCTTGTTCTCGATGCTCCAGCCTGCGAACTTGCCCTGCACCTCATCCGTGACGCTCTCCTTCTCCGCAAAGCTGGCGAAGGTTACGCAAATGGGCCGGATCACGTGGCTCAGCTCGAAGGGCTCGTCGAGGGTCATAAGGGCCAGGTCCTGGTAATAGTTTTCCGTCCTGCCTTTGTAGCCGCTGCGACGAATAAAGTGGAAAGATTCAGTGGACCGAGACATGAAAGATTCGGTGCCCTTCTACTTACGGCGCTATTTCGATGAGCCGTACATCCCGTCGCTTTTCATCCGGAGTGATTTCGTCGTAATTGCGGTAGAACTTGGCCGCAATCACCCGGAAGGTGTCGTAGCTGTAGGGCAGTCGCGTACCCTCGTCGTATACGCAATGTGCGGCGGTTATGACGAGGTCCGGGGTGAGTAGGGATCCTCCGCACTGGAAGTGGTAGTCCTTCTCGTTGTGCCACACATATCTGCACAGCGATTATCAATGAGATCATCGGGACGGATAGTTAACAGACTTACAGTCCCACATGCCAGGGCACAACCGTGTTGTTGATCGTATACCCGCCGAATGAGAAGCTTTTTATGGGAGTGGCTAGCTGGCCGCAGTCCTGCTCGCATCGCTGGCGTCCTCGGTTCCAGTATCCTCCCTTCATGCACCTCATTTCCGGCAGTGTGCTCAGGGACTTGAATCCGGTGGCGCAGACGAATTTCACTTCGGTGCCGGGCGGATGGAATGGTTTGCGGCAGTCCACTTGCTGTCCATTGTGGGTGCACAAGGCCTTGGTGGAGTAGCCATCGAATTCCCCGGCTGTGCTGCAGTATTCTACGGCAAAGCAAGGAGTACATGTGAGAAATTACTACACGGGTACGGCCAAAACACAGTCACTCACTCACGCATTTCGGGATTGTGGAAGTACTCCACTTCTTCTTGGCGCAGTAGCTGCTCTCCTCGCCCTCCAGCACATGGCCCTGCTTGCAGGAGAAACGGACAGTTCCCCGGGTAATGGGTCCAGTGAGGACGCGATTGCCGTCGCCCGTCAGGATGGGCCTTTCGTCGCCAAGTGGCAGGGGGCATCCGAGCAGCTCCAGCGCAGTCTCAATCGCCACGGTCGTGCTCACCACCTTCCTGGTGGTGTTACATAGCAGTGGTGCCTCGTCGGATCCGTCGTAGCAGTCGTTCTCCCCGTTGCACGACAATGACCCCGAGATGCAGCCACCTGTTCCGCACTTGAAGGAGTACGCCGGACACTCCATGTGGCCGCACAGCTCCACCGACTCGTCGAAGCCCGTACCATCCGCACAGTCGTCCTTGCCGTCGCACAGGAATTTACTCTTGTCCAGGCAAATTCCGGATGGGCACTTGAACTCATTGTCCCTGAATGGAAGGGTAATACATAAGAGGGACACAAACTCCCAGGGGAAGAGGCGTTGGTAATAGCACCCAGTCCCCATCCTGTTGTCTACATTCTACATTTCCGTACTCACTGGCAATTGCCTTGAAGCCGTCGATCGTGCTGCCGTATATCGTCCTCGTTACCGCATCTCAGCCTGGTCTCATCGGAGCCATCTGCGCACTCACTGACACCATTGCATCCAGCTGTCCCAATCACACATGCTCCATAGGTGCACTGGAAATAGGGCTTGGTGCAGTGCTGCCGCTGGGAGACACAAGTCAACGCCGTCTCGTCGGATCCATCCGGGCAGTTCCTCTCGCCGTTGCAGACGTCGTACTGCGAAATGCAGCTGCCGTTGTCGCACTCGAACTGGGAGCTGTCACATGCCGTGGATACTTCAAAGGGATCCTTATTAGTGTAGTATATTATGGTGTGACCCTATACTCGAAAACTCTGATTGCCAAACCACACATATTTGAATCAAGCTTTATTCACTTAGAGCATTTTTACTTCCGGACTCCGATTTTTAAAACTGCCGCGTGTTGAAAAGTTATATTCCTTAATTTAAAGTGTAGTGAACACTTTCGTCTGGTATAAATGAGTGATTTTCTTACTTTTACAAATTATGCAAATGGGCTTAGAGGGTAATGCCTATTAATTCCTAATAATTTTCTTTATTTTCATTTTTTACCATTTGATTACTGCGATTGTGTAATGCTGTAGAGTTATTTTCCCTAGTATTTGAATATTGGCTGGTAACTGCCAGTGGATTCAGTTGGCTGTAAAAACTGCCGGCAGGTGAGCTAAACATCGCGTCTTTAGTATTCATTTCCGTAAACATTCTCACTCACATCACACTTAGCGAGTTACCTAGAGTGTACCGACAAACTGAAAATCACCAGAGATAAACAGAGATGACTGATGGCCACACAAAGCGCGATTTCAAGATGAACCGGCTCAAATCTCGTTGTGAGAATCTCTCTTTGAGAACAACGTACTACATATGTACAGAAAATGTTTATTTTCGTCCCATTTGTATTATCATTTTGAACTTTACTCACTTGTTTTGAATCTCAATAAGACCGCGCAGAAGAACAATGGATTTGTCAAAATCGATTTTAGTTGCATAGTCTTAATTTCTGATGTTCTATGATGCACTCGATCAGGCAATCACATAAATATGCCCAAATGAAGTGCGTGCTGATAAAAGTCGTCTGGAAAGCACTTGCCGCCGAGCTGAGAACAAGTCGGACCGAGCTTACAAAGGGAACTGAGCTCGAATGTGTTCAAGCTGAAGCCTATACCAATCTGGAAACTCGTTTTAAGAGCACCTCCTCGACATCGATTTGAGTGCTAAGAGTCGATCGTTACGCTTCAATTGCTTCAATTTTCAATAGCGCTCGAGTACGCATTAGTAAAGCATAGTAGCTTTACCAGTAGCATTTTTAACAGAGCGCACTTTCCTGTTCTGTTATGAAGAAATCATATCACATAAATTAATTTAATTTATTTATAGTTATAAGCACAGATTAAAAATAATGATTTAAGACTCACACTTGTAAAATATTCAAGCTGGAGACTTTTCGCGCCATTGGTTCGAGTCCGTGCTAGCTCCAGGCGTTTCGCATAAATCTTTTACAAGATTTTAAAGAGGTTAACTAGAAAAAGTCAGTTTCCTTACTTTATAAGGGCATGATTTAGTAAATGTACTGAAATAATTTTTGTCCCCTGGCCATTTAAAAATTAAAGTTTAAAGTTTAAAATTAAATTTGGCGCACCCAATAAAACACCTTTAAATTACGTGGGACTTGTTCTTTTCTTTTACGGGTATTCAAGTCCTACCAGCTTCTTCATTACAGCAAAACAACTTTGAATTCTTTTCAATGTACCACCACTTCCATCACGAAAAATAAACTTGCCATTATCTGTGTTCGTATATGAAAAACAGTTTTATTAAAGTGCCTATTTTATTCTGCAAATTCTAAAATTTGCATACTGGTGCCAGATCGTCTAAATAAGGATTGGCTTTACTGCAATACTCTTCGACCTATTTTACACTAAGGTGTAGGATGTAGAAATGGCAAAATCTACAGTACATGGGTAATATACATGTAAGTAAACATTTGTATGGTTTAAATCTCCACTAAAAATTGTATTTCTGGATAGCACGGTGCAAAAAATTGAAATGTTTTATTGGCTTTGTTGGAGCAAAGCGTCGGAACAAGATACTTAATAAACTTAAATAATACTGTTATTAGGGCTGCATCGTAGATTACTCCGATTTATATATATTTCCCATACCAACTGTTTCACAGAAAAAATTCAAAGACAATTTGTAAATTATTTAAATCGTTTTGTTTAATTTATTTGTTTCTTTTTCCACATTCTCACTGGTTGCTGCTCGTTTTGTGTTTGTTCTTTTTACGTGTAGTTTATATTGATAATTTACAACTTACGGAGCTAACATAGAATGGCATTAAATTAGAGTTACATCGATTAAGTATGAACGGAACCTGCGGGTCCAATCGTCGATCGTGGGGAGGGGAAATTACAAGTAGAAAATGTAACCGCAAAGTATCTGTAGGTCTGATCTGATCGGATGAAGTACGTATATAGGAAAAGTAGTAGTCTCTTATGGATAGGCTGCTCGGCCGAGGGTCAGAGAGTTTAAAGTAAAAGCCACTAGCAATGTACAAGTAAGTAGCGATTATTTTACTACGAATGCACTGGTAAGTAAGTAGTAGGTAAGTGGTAGGATGCAGTACTATTTGCAAGACTCCACCGAATCGGCCTTCTTTTACGTATATCTGTTGCTACTATAATCCACGTTTAAATATTTATGTATTGTATTTTA